AATAAACTTGCATCAAAATTGCTACTAAAATTGCTGATGATTTGAAGAAGTTAGAACACCACCACCAGATTTTAGTGAAATAATCTAAATAAATTATGGAAAAAATGAATCAAAAAGTTAAAGAAAGAAAATAATAAAAAAAAAAAATGAGATTTAAATTTATTATAGAGCTTATTTTTTCACTTGAATTTAATGCTATCAAACCTTGGCTATGCTTTCTCTATATTCTTTATTCATAAAATCTTTTCTTAATATAATATCTACCTATCTTATAAATAGTCTGTTTAATTCATATACCCAATTAAAATATCTTTTAAACTCTTTCTCTCATATCGATCCAAATTAATTATTAAGAATACTTTAGATCTCTCATTAAAACCAATCGAGATTAGTAATTTCTATTAATCTTTTTTCCAAATTACTAAATATTAATAGTTCATTGTTTAATTAAGAACTCTAGAAAAGCTCTAGGTATATATTTTGAAGGACTAATTCAATAATTTAATATTAAATTTTTTAAATCATATCATTAATTATTAAATAATTTAAACATATAATATAATTGTGTTTTTATTTATCATAATATACCCTTAATTTTCACTTTTGAATTGTCAATATATACGCATGGATACAATGTATCAATTTCGGTAATCTAAATATATTTGATATTCTACTAGATAATCTTATGAATTCTATTTACTCCATTTTATATATTTCTATTCTATACTTACTTCTATTATCAGTATATCACTAGATTAGAATTTAAATGCCTTTCCTTGAGTATTAGCAGAATGATGGAAATGTTAAGAATCGCCATTACTTAATAAATATGATCTATCTTAATTATAATATTGAATACCCTTATCCCTAACCATCACCTTTATATCCATTTTATTAAATCATTTCTCTAAATCCAGAACCTACTTTTACACCACCAACTAACTCTTAGTATTTCGAATGCAAAGTGTATTTTACCAGTCTTAGGGATTACTCATTCACATATACAATAACCTTGTTTATAACCACCAAGCTCAACAGTTTTTCCATTATCCCTCATTTAAATATCATTATGTTAAAAAAGAGGCTAAAATGTTAAAATCTTAGGATACATATAGATCTAAAGGTTGTTAATATAATATAAATTTCGAACCTTGATTTAAGCATGGTCAAAATTTTTTTATTCTGTCTAAAGTTTCACACAATCAAAATTTTAGTCGATTTAAATATTTGAAAGTATTGAGAGGCTATATTCTTTAAATTCCCTAAACCATTATAATTCTTAATTAAGGAGAGATTTCTATGATTAATTTATTTTAGAAATATTATTAATTATTGGATTAGTTGAGAGACTTTTTGGATCTTTTATTAATTTATCTAATTCTTCAAAAAAGCTATATTTGTATTTTTCAAATTATCCATTTAATTAAATATTCTGAATCCAATTGTTTACCATCTTAATTAATTAATCTAGTTAAAAAATGATATTAGATTAAAATTGAATGATCATACTCAGCAATGCTTCAACATATTCTATATTAGCTTTAGTTTTCTCTTCTATATCTGCTAATTTCTTTTATTGTTCATCCTCAATAATCTAAATTGCTTTTTTAAATCCAATTGTTTTAGCTGTCATTTCATTAAACTCTAAACAGTATCAAGAATTAAAGAAATAATTGGTGAATTGTGTTAATGAATACAACGTAATTATTCCTGATTTTCTATCATTTCTAATTAATACATTATTTTAGTTAAATGATATTATTTTTGCTTTTTGCTTTATAAATAACACAATTTTAGATACAATCTTGCTTTGGCTTTATTTATTAGATGGAATCTTCATATATTTTCACAAGTTATTTACTTCACCTTTAAGGGAATTAGAAATTTTAAATTGGGTAAAATTCAAAAGTTTAAATATTAATATAGTGAGACATAGGACCGAAAATTCCCACAAATACATAGAGTTATGAAATTCTTTTTATAAATTATGAAATCTCTTATTATTTATTGAACGATGGCAAAGTTTAGAAACTATATTTTGTGCTTTATTAATCTTTTTCATTAACATGATATATATAATTGTATATCTAAGAATCTATTTTAATGAATATATGCTCTATTATTTTTGCCATTTATCTTACTTTAAAAGATCTTCCTAATTGAAAACGCAATATTATAAAGAATATTATCAATATGATGTGTTGTTTGAAGAAGTAATCATACTATTTTGGCTAATATTTCATGAGATAGAATTAATGAGACCTGTAAGTGATTACAGCTTCTTTTTTAAAGGAACTCTAAGGTGATAAAATAATTATTAAAATCTAATTTTGGTTTTAAATTAATTTACTTTGATCTATCAATTCATTAGAATAATAGTTTACTTCAATATTCTAATATTTTCAGAAAAGCAGGAATTAGCATCAAAATTTATGATAGTATTTTTTTTTGCGATATAATTAAAAGAATATTATATATCCAATCAAGTTATTTATATATATAATAGTGGTTTTAACTAAAAAATGACTTATAATAATTAGAAGAACTTTAGGAAGTTTTTCTTTATAAGAGCTTTATTTTAGTATTTTAATATTAAACTGATGTTTTACTTTATATTTAATCCAATTATATAAAGTAAGAGACAAATATACATATATTCAATATCTCATATGATAGTTATTTTAATTCTTCACCTTCATAAACTACTAATTATTTACCATCGTTCCAAAAATCTTTTCACTTTTACATTTTAACGATGCAACAATCTTAAAAGCGACATCATTTAATTTTTTAATCAAATAGATATTATTTTTATTTCTTAGCAATATCATTTTTCTATTTTTATTATATATTATTGGAAAATAAAATTAATCTTGATTTTGATTATTCTAAATTAATTTGATAGTTTTGGTCGAATTTAATTTAAAAATTCCATTCTATTATTCAAACACTAATATACCATCAATATTTTTTGAACTAGTTACCAAAATAAATTGTTGATCATTAATTAAATTAGATTTATATCCCTCATCTTTAACTTTTTATTTATATATGAAAAAATTGAAATACTATATTTTAATTAAAAATATTGAATTTGTTTTTTTAAATTACATATTATTGAAAATTCAATTAATGTTTTCAATAAATATTAATATTAAGTTTACTATATTTTATATTTAGATTCCCCTTTTCCTAATAGTCCTTTTTCCCATATTAAATTCATCATATTCACATGATACCAATACAGTTTCTGCTTCATTAAAATTAAATGACCATACATTGTTTAAATTTCGATTTAAGGAATACAAAAAAAGATTATTCCTAAAATCTAATTTCTAAACTGTTAATGATTTATCATACTACCTGATATTAGTTAATCCTCCTTTAATTTAAAATTATACAATAAACACGATTACTATGGTGTTTAAATTATTCTGAGTTCTTCCAATTTTTTGATTACTTATTACCAAACAAATGATTGTGTTATCCTGTGAACCAGATACAAAGCTATTTCTGAATTTACTGTACACTAAACATGTTACAGCATCAGTATGTACTTCATATTTATTAGATAATTTTAATCTTCCTTATTTAAAATTCTAAACTTGAATACTCATTAAATTGCCATAAATCATAATTGTTCATTATTCATCAAATGCTAAAACAAAATAATAATCAAGCTCTTTATTTTGAACATCAATTAATTAAAATTCAATTTAGCCATTCATAATCAATTATTTTTCTAATTCTTGCTATTGATTTTCAATTTAAATTACTTAATTTTATTAGTCAATACTATTATCTTTATTTCCTTGCATTTATATTTACTATGTATTATTTTCATCAAATTTATTAAGCTTATCTAAAATATTTAGTATTTATTCACATTACTTGCTTTCTCAAAATGATTTAAATAAATCTAACTTTTAAAGATCTTTTGATTCTATGATTATTAATTTAAATGATATTATCAACTAAAGATTTCTAAGTATATTCATCAAATTTTTTTAATTAATAAGTTTTTCCAATTCCACAAAGAAACTATAAGTTACAATTTATTAACCATTCGTTTTAAAATCTTTGATCCATTCATCTATATTTCGAATTATCTAATTTAATTATCAAACAACATTAGATTTAAATGAATTAAAGGTTTTTCTAACTATTCTATCTTTTTTATATTTATCATATTCTACATTTATACTTTCTTTAACTTTTAATTTTCTTCAATAATCTATTAAACTTTCTTAAAATCATTAATTTAACTTTTTATTCTAAATCTATGATTCGTCTCTATAGGCTAGACTGATAGTTTGATATATTAAGTTAATTGCCACGCTGTATTAAATGAACTCAGAAATGAGAAAGTAGATGATTTAAATGGAAAATTCTTGAAAAAAGTTCATTTTACAACCATCTCTAAACCCTTTCAGATTCTTAAACTTAATTATTTGAAATTCGAACATTCTTATTTTTTAATTTAAAAATTTCTAGTAATTTTGTAAAAGTAATATGAAATACAGATAAAAATCAAATTAATAAATTGAAGCCATTTCCTTCATATTTGTTTAAAAATATTATTAGTTGTAATATAATCAAATTTTAGTAAAATCAAAGGAAAAGAATAGAAGATAAAGAGTGATAGCAATAATTTAACTGTTAAACTCATATATTTAATTTAAAGTATTCTACTTAAGCAAATCTTTTTTAATATTGATATAAAAATATGTACATATAGAATAATTATTAAGGCTTAGTTTAGTAATAATAAAATTTCGATTTTATTAATGAAATTACAAGATATTCTTTTTGAAATTTTCCAATTTTTTAATAACTTTTATTCAGTCATGTTTTTGATATTCAAATAAGTAAAACTTTAAAATCGCAAAGCAGGCAT